AAAAGAAAGAAAAAAGAGAACCGATTCTCGGTGTGAAAATATTTCGTTAAAGTTTATTTTTATACGAGAGAAAGACGGGGTAGCCACTATATCAATCTGCAATATCCGATTCGAACGCGACAAATACAGCTGCCTTCATGGATGGATGCGCGTATTTCAAAGCGTGACCGATCGCTGTCATGCGATACTTAAATTAAAATCGATGAAAAAAAGGAAAATATATATATAAATATAAGAGAAAGTTATGCCATCGGATTGTTTATCATTCTTTTTACAAATTAGAAATTCGATACTTTTCTCCTCGATAAAGTTTTATAAAGAATTATATATAATTCGACAACGAACGACGAAGTTGTCGAAGGGAATAAAAGAAGGTAGAGTAATGTAATACGTAATGCTTATCTTTATTCCGAAGCTAAAGCTATTCCGAGGAGAGAGAGAGAAAGAGTGATTTTCTTTTGTCTTTTTCCCTCCGCTGCTCCCGTTTTCTCTCGCAATACACTCGGCACAATTTCCTCCCCCCCTTCCCCTCCCCAATTCCACGTCTCAGTGATTCTCAACTGTTCGTTAATACAATATACTTTCCACGACTCGAACCGAACTACTGGTACAAAATTCCACTGTTTTATGGGCAACAACAACTTATTGTTAACCTCTCCGGACCGTGTATTACTTTGACTGTGCTCACTGTTATATCCTCCCCTCCAAAAGAGCTTCAGAAAAGCGGCTTTATTAGATTACTTCTTCCTTTCTTCTCCTTCGCGAGACAGAGAATTTTCGAGAACGGTTGTTTCGAGAGTTATGAATCAAAAAAAGTCAAATTAAAGATTCAAATTTTAAGAAGAGAAGAAAAATTTTTCAAAATTCTTTTCGAATTCTGAAATTTCGGAAGAAGTGAAATTAAGAAATAAGTAAAATAATCTTACAAAATATCCATCCATTCATCCATCTATATACTCTATAGCTGTGTATCGGTGTATCGGTTATTGACAATTCCCTGCTATAACTTGGCCGTAGGATACGAGACGATATCAATCGTAGCATAAACCTGAGCTTACCTCGCTACCGCCTTGTCTCTGAACCACCACGAGCAAATTCCAGATTAGCCCACGCCTCGGATAACATTTACATATAGCATACATTTGCAGTTGGAAAGCAGCGGCCGCCGGATCTCTGTCGTAGCTGGGCCCGCAAAGATTACGCATTACGGTTGGAGAAGGGGGCGCCCTCCTCTCCATGCAAACAAGGAGGAGACCATTTTCTTCTTGCTTTTTACCGACCGGTAACCATGTTACATTAATAAAATTAAAATTTCCTATCAATAGGACGGAGATAAAATTTCCATCCCGCGGAAAAGTATTTTTTCTTAGATAGTTTTAGTTTTACTTAAATTATTGGAAAATTACTTACATTCGAAAATGAAATTATTAATTTCGCGATGCCACACACGAGTATCCAATAAGAATATTTTTCAAAGTTTGTTGGCAAAAATTTCAATTTTACTCTTTACAAAGAGATGTGTAATCTAAATATTATGAAATCGTCGCAAGACGCGCGGTATAAATAAATATTAGATGAAATAACGTCAGTCGTAATTAAAAAGACGAAATGAATCAGTCGAAGAAATTAATTAACCGATTGGCAGCATTGATTAAACGATATATTCAATAATGGTAATTTCGTAAATTAAAGCTAATTAAACATTCGATCTACGTTCGATTTCATTCGTGAAACGTGTCACGTCAGATCGAGAAGATTAATATTAGAATATATTCGTGGAATCACTCGTCGATTGATTCTCCTCCTCCTCCTCCTCCTGCTCCTGCTCGTAGATTTCGGCTTCCTCGAACAGGCGTGGCTTCGAAGCACAGCCAGCAAATTTCCGATTACCCTAGCCCGGCCAACATTTACATACGGCATGCATTTACCATGCCGCGGATCGGCGGCAAATCGTGAGGGGGCATCCTCGGTGCACTATCGAAATTGTCTCGGCCCAATAAGAATACGAAACGTTTATCCCTGCGATAAACGGGAAACCTCCGTATTCCACCGAGTTTGCCAAACGCATCATGCTTCCTGTACTTCTTTATCCTCGAGTTTCAATTTGTGCTCCGAATCGTCGACCAAAATTCCACCCATGCGTTACTCCTCGATTTGTATAAGACGTTTAGTTTAAAAGTATGATCATTTCGTGAATGAAATTTCGAGGAAATAAAAGATCCCAAATTAGAATTGGGAATTAACTCAAATTGAAAAAATAAAATTAATTAGTAAATCTCGAATAAAGTTAATTTAATTAAAAACAAAATTTTATTTATTGGTTTCCAATAAGATATCGATAAAAATCTAAAAAGGATAAATATAATATAATATAATTATAAAGGAGTTACGAGATTATGGAAAAATTCGATGCAACGTATCATACGACAAGACATCTCTCGTGCTTCGAATCGCGTTTCTCTTTCGAGTTATTAGCGCATGCTATGTAGACGCATACACACAAAGGTTCTCGAAACCTTTGTAACGATGCGGTGACGTTCGTGCGCACAATTCTAGCTCCAACGATTCCGTAACATTATCACGGTTGGCAACGGGAAGAGCGAAGTTTGTCGAGGCAGTTAAAAGTTGGAGAAATTTAGGTTAGAAGTGAGCAACTCAAGGTGATTTATCCCTAACGAATTCGAAGATTCGAATTTCTTCGCTGCGACGGTTCCGACCGTTAAGATAACCGAGGCTTAATTGCCTCGTTCGCGGAATCGAACGGGTCGCGAGGAGTTGGAGAGTCGTTCAATTTCGAGAGCCTTCGTAAACGATCGGTGATTATTTTCAATATGTTTCTTAACGTATTCGTATAAAGTAAGGTTCGTTGAAGTAACGATCGTATATATTTTCGTACAAAATTCATTGGGAATGTTGGAAAGTACACATGGAGAATGGGTTTGCAAGTATAATCATATAAAAAATATTATTGGTCTATACACGGTGCTTAAAATCTCTGATATTAAAAATTTTTAATACAGTAGAGATTCCCGTATCTCCATTATCCATTATCTAATATACGGACGTTCTATTATGTATATTATGTATATTATGTATGTTCTGTTATTCACACAATGTTTCGTAGCAATGTTTATATACAATATACTTAGATTATAATATAAATACAATATATTTACATGTAATAAATACTTTCCTGTGTTCGGCTGGTTAAACGTAATCATATCGATTCAGTATGAAACGGAGAACGGTTCACGATGGCAAGTAAACGAAAACGTGTAGTTTTAATCATTAAAGAGAAAACTAAAATAATTAAAGATATTGAAAGTGGTGAAAGTGCAACGAAATTAGCAAGAATACATGATGGATGGCTCGATGGTTTGAAGGTATAGGATCCTTAGGTATTGAAAGAGACTATCAATTTTGTTCATTTCTATTTGAATAATAAATTTGAAAAGTAATTGTTCTATTATTCCACTTTTCGGCCACTTTTGTCTCCCTATTAGTTCAGATACGGGAGTCTCTTACTGCAAATCGAATCGAAACCGTATCGAATCACTTTCGTGTTAAAGTAAAAGAAGAAAAAAGAAGATACGAGTGCAAGTTGACACGCATTTTTACGCGGCATTCTCCACTTCGCGTTCGAAATCGAGACGAAACCACTTTGGACAAAGAAAGACGCCTCGTCTATCTTCGTGTCTGGCGAACGAAGAAGGTGGAGGGGGAAGAGAAAAGTGGTGGGGATGGCGAATGGTAAAAGTTTGAAAGAGAGGGGGGTATGTACGAACTTTTGCGCGTTCTCGGAGGAAAGGGAAGCGGACTGCGCGCCTCCTATTGTTTAGCGCGGGAATGGATGCGAGGTTGATGGAATACAAAACAGAGACGTGACCTAGCTCGGGCTTTGGCTCGAACCGTTGAGGATGAAAGGTGGGGGACGAGAAGGGAACGGTGCCAGATGCGAAGGAAGGGAGATAAATAGCGAATGACGATTCGCTGACGCGCGGGAAAAGAAAGATTGCGAGATCGCGAATATTATTCGAGACGAGATTCTCTATGAATTCTTTGGAGTAATGAAATTTTGTAAACGCGATCGATTATCGTAAATTGTTTTTTTTAGGATTTTTTTTAGATTCGACGTTATTAAATTTCATTTCAGTGTTTCATCTCAGATTGTTGTTCTTCTCTCCGTGTATACGAATATCCAATTAAAATTTTGACAAAGCGTTTCCCAAAGACATTAAATTATTAAATAAATTATTAAGTGTGCAAACAAGTTCCTTCCTTCTTTTTTCGCTGATTATAACTTTCGACCGAATTCGAATTACTTTACCGATCGTGGCGCTGTACGAAATGTTCTTTTGTTTTTAAGAAGAGTCGCCACGAGCGCTGTAAGTTTCCAGTTCTACGCGACAATTTCGAGCGATACAGCGTCATAGCTTACTTTTTGCGTTCTAGCTTAGAATCAGCTGTCAAAGCTACCGAAATAATTTGTGTGCACCATTGAAAGAGAATGCTGTATATTACGGAACGTGGAAAAAGTCGTAGCGAAGATTGAAAGCCGAAAATTTTAATTTGGAGGATGACGATCGTTCAGGCGCATCGAGAAAGTTCGACGGTGGTGAGTTAGAGGAATCGCTCGACGAAAATCCGATCCGGACGCAAGAAGAATCGGCAGAAAGATCCGACTAAAACAATTGGGTAATTTTGTACCCGATTTACATAATAAAATCTTGAATTTGAAAAGAATTTATTTGCACACCTAATAATTAAGAAGAAACGTATTTTCGCTCGAGAACATCTTCCATATTTTTTTCCTTTTTTTATTATCTTCTCCTTTCATTCCTTTGTTACGAAGCGATATCAAAGGAATATATTTTTACAGAGAAATAATCAGATAAGAGAAATAATCAGTGAAAATACCAATATTTTTCCAAATATTGTCTTTGTAATAATATCGCATACGAATTCGAGTTGAAAGCGAAAAAAAATACATCGAAATCGAGAGATAAATAGAAATAAAGGATGGAAATGGAAAAATGGAGGATCGAGGAAGATACGGCGCGACGTTCACTCCGTAAAACTGAATGGAACGGTGATGAAAATCGTCAGAGGTGCGGAGGATAGCATGGAGGAGGGTGAGGAGGAGGGGGAGGAGAAAGGGGGACCCATTGAGAGGGGAGAGAAGACGAGGCAAAGGGTGGAAAGATTTGGCAACCGAGGTGCGGATAAATAAAAACGGCGAAGGAGCGGAGCCAAGAGCGTGGAGAGATACGTGTCGGGAAAGAAAACGAGGAGAATGGATGCGATCTGGGGGAGGGAGTGTGAACGATGTCTGCTCTTTGAACCGGCGGAGGATCTAATGACGCGGACTTCCGGCTGCACTCGCTCCAGTTTCGAATTTTATCGAAATTTTATCGACCGTCGTGACAATTTTTCACCTCTTTCTTTCTTTCACAGCTTTGCGTGCGAAATCTCTCCTTTCTCGCTATTCTTTGAGGGTGTCGTGATTGCTTCTCCCCTTCCCGCTTCCCCCCCCCCCTCCCGCTTTATCGAAGAAAAGAAAAACGAGACGCCGCTATTGCGGGTCGAAAGGGAACGGCAACAACGGTTGACCAATTGCGCCGCAACGTGTATTTCTCGTATATTATTAACGCTCGTTCGACACGAGCCAACAAGTGAAACTCGTTTCGAAGGATCGCTGATTTCAACTTGATTATCCTTAAATTACTCGAGAAATTACTCGAGAAATTACTCGAAC